ACTGACTGTCTCTCAACATCAAGCGTTATCCAATCTCTTGTTTGTAGAGTAAATTACTAAGTATCATGGGGAGGAAGGTGGACCAGATGGCTCTTAAAGTCTCTTTCAATCTGATACTCTATGATTCCCAAAATTGGACTTTCCAAGTCCCAGTTATTTAAGACATTTTTCTACTAAACCAATTCTCTGATTTCAAAATATTATCTGTTTTTGAAACCTTTATTATAGATCCCACCTTTCAGATCCCAAATCACTATAGCTAGCGTAGCTCCAAGATCACCTACCAGCCGCTGAGCATCATTCAGTATCTGCTTCTGTCTTGCCTGGCTCGGATATATGTGGGAGATCAAGACTGGATCTAGGAGTCTTTCTTCCTCTTCAGTGAGTCCTATCACCCTGGGACAGGGTCCCCAGAGCTAACCTTGACTATTTCAGGCCATGAGGGGCACAGGCAAGGGAGAGAGCTCCAGCCCCAGAGGCAGATGAGACTCAGGCTCAGGCTAGGCCCCTGGGAGGGAACTTGGATAGAAGTGAAGTCTGCCTTCCACCAGCTGGTCTCAGAGAGGCTTTTCCCCAAGTCCTTGCCATCTCATTATCCCTTCTTCTACACCCACCCCTCTCCCCATCTCCAGTGACTTCTTAACACAGACTCTTGAACTCCGGTTCTGAAAACATGACCCCAACCCTCCCATAACTCCACCCCTAAACACACATACTCTTACATTTCCATGTCTCACCTCTCAAGTCCAAAGAGACTTTGCATTTCCCCTCGTATTTTCAACGAATTACTTTTCCTAATCATGTGCCTGATCCAATCCAACATTATTCTTCCTTTGAGAAACCTCTCTGATAGGAGTTGCCTGTTCTGAAAAAAAGCGTGGGTTTTGGAGCCCCAGAAAACTTTATTTGAATCCTGGCTTCAATAAAATACACATTTACTGAGCCCTTGCTAGGTAACACATATCGTTCTAAGCAGAATACGTGTATAAACTAATATTATCCTCACAATTACTCTATGAGATTGGTACAATTGTTATTCTTGTTTGACATTTGAGGAAACTGAGGCAGAGAGAGTTTAACAATGTGCCTAAGGTCACACAGTTGGTAGGTGCCCATAGATTATGAACCAAAGCACTCTAACCCCACAACCTGTGCTCATCTCTTTAAGCTCCACTGCTTCCAGAAGCACTGATAGTGGTTGAAGGAACATAACCAAGGTCACATAGCCACAAACGGTGCCTATCTCAAGGCCTTTACTCCTGACCACCACTCATTACCTATATGCCTTTAGGAAGTCATTTATCTCTTTGAATCTGTACTTTCTCATGTTTAAATGTTGTGTTGTGAGGGTTAAGTGAGATGAAATACAGAAAATAACTATATTCGTTCTAAAATGTGTCTACATATAATCCTGCAGGTGTAGAGTAGATGTTTGTTAAACTCCATATAACTCTGTTACCACATCTAAGTTGCTTAACGTCTCACGGCCTTATTTTCTTCACCCTTAAAAAGGGTGTGTTTGGATTGTTTTGAGAGTCAAACAACATGGCGATGCTTCGAGCCAAAGGATAGGAACACACCTATAGCTTAACAAAATTGAGCTAATCTTTTTGCTGCAATGAGAGAGATCACACATCCTGTGGACAGTGAGGCGTTTCAGTAGGCGGTGTTAGAAAGAAACTATTACAGGATGTGGGCTCATGTTATGTGATTTGGGGGAGGCTTCAAGGAGCAGGGCTTGGTCTGGATTGGATTCTGTCAGTTACTGGAGATAATTCTATCATTGGTATCTTAATTCACTTTATCTAGAAGGTAGATTAAAGTTGTAATTGATATAGAAGCAGCAGCAAAAGCCAGCCTATTAGGAAAGAAGGAAGCTATAATTGAAAGGAAACTGTAAAGTCATCACTGGGACCTCAAAGTTTGTTTAGAAACTCTTTTATAAATCTCTTGATCATTGTTAATAAGAGAAGCATAAGAATACAATTATATAAGCCCCTGGAATCTAGACAGCTGTGCCTACTAAGCAAAGCGAAGCAAAATTCTTAGATAAGATTAATGTTAACTCTGTCTGGCAGTCTACCATAAGCACGGACCACACCTGTTTTCTTTCTGTGAATTCAGGATGAAAAATGAGGACTGTACTGTTGTTAATTTTAATTATGCACATAAAACATAAACCTTCATGCTTATCATAAGACATAAAACCATTTAGTAGATTTCAGGATGGCATAGAGCATGTCCAGTAGGAAAGATTAAGAATGGCTCGTAACTTGTGTTTGTGGTTAATCATTTTGGATATATCTGAATTTGGTATTTCCACACCAAAAAAAAAAAAAAAGTTCCCTTTTCCAAGGGAAAAATTTATAAGAATTCAGAACAGCTTTTAAATTCCAAACTGATAATCATATTTACTTTCTCCTTCCCTTCTGTTCAAGCTTGTAGGAATCGAAAAGAAAGGAAAACTTCTTTTGGCAATTTTCAAGCTACACATGATGTGGAGCTTTTTATAAACTGTGACAGATGCCCTCTAACCTCCTGTTCAGGATTCCAAATTCTGAATATTTTTCAGCTTCTCGTATGGGTTTAATCCACTCTCACATGGCCCATTTTAATTCTTTTTCTAAAACGCCGTTAGTGAAAAGCTTCACATTCAAAATAGTTCTGTATCAAACAAACCAAAGTTTAAATTATAATTTCTTCTAATATTTTCATCTTCATAGGCCACTGAGTATAACTAAATTAGTTTATAAATTGAAATCATTTGATCTCTGGTAGAAACCTCCATCACCACAGTACACTACCTTTTCTCTTCTTTTTTCTCTTGAAGTCAGGACTATTCTTGACCTTGGGAAAAACTGTCAAATTCCATAACACCACTTTTAGAATTTTGTATGAGATTTTATTTTATCAATAGGTCAATTTAGGGAGAAGAAATATTTTTTCTATTATTCATTTCCCTCCCCATGAATGTGTTCTATCTCATCATTTATATAAGTGTTATATAATGACTTTAAATACCAATCTATAAGAATTTCCAGAAAAAGTATTGAACATCTTTTGTTAAATACTTTATATATATTTTGTTGATGTTATAAATTCTATCTCATTAATTACATGATATAACTGTTGCTATTATACAATAACGCAATTAGCTTTTTTTTCTTTGAATTATATAAAAAGCTGGTCAACCTCCCATATTAATTTTAATAATTTATCTGTGGTTTTCTATGATTCAGCATAAATAAGAAAGTCATCTACAAATAATTACAGGGTTTTTTCCAATATTTATACTTTTAATTTCTTTACTCTTTTTGCTTATTTGCTGCAATAGTCAGTACCTCCAAACAATGTTGAACAGAAGTTATATTAGCCATTAATCTTGTTTTGTTCATGATCTTAAAGGAAATGCTTTTCATACTTCACTATCAGTTCTACTGCATGATTTTAAAGAGCTGCCCTTTATCAGGATAAGGAAGTTTTTTTGTATTTGTAGTTTTACTGCTGTTGTTTCTTATGTTTTTAATTATGAATAGTTATTGAATGCTTTTTTCCCTGCATCAAAAGAGATAATTATCATGTTTTTCCTCTTTTAATCTGTTAATACGATAAACTATATTATTCACTTTTCAAATGTTAAATGTCTTGCATTCCCGAGATAAGCCAAATTCAATCATAATCACTTGATATAGATTATTAAGTTTGGTTTAGGAGTGTTCGGAGGGAGAATTTTGTATTTATGTTAATGAGTGAGGTGGGCCTCTAAATCCTTCATACACTGATTTGATTCATTTTGGAATCAGAAAGTGCATTGTTGGGCTGTATGTCCAGTGTTTCTGTTCTCTGAAGAGGTTGTGTAAAAGTGGAGACATATTTTTCTTTAATATTTGGTAGAACTCACTTGTTAATCAATCCGGGTCCAAAGTTTCTTTCTAGTGGTATTTTTAAATTTTAATTCAATATCATTAAGATTTTTTACTGATTCTGAAGTTGATATTGGTAATTTTCAGTTTCCTGGAAATAAATCCAGCTAATTAAGCTTTTAGTTAATTGACATGTGTTGTTAATAGTATCATCTTATTATCGTTTTAAGCTTTGCTGAACTTGTAATTATATCACTTTTTCATTCCTAATATTTCTTATTTTTACCCCTCTCTCCCTCTGATTCTTTATTAGTCTCTTCAGGAGTATAATTATTTTATTTTTTTTCCCCTAGAACCAACCTTTTAATCTACATGTTCTCTTTGTTTTATATTTATTTTTATTATATTAATTTCTTTTTCTGTATTTATCTTTTTCTGCCTCCTATTTTCTTAGTAATATACTTACTAAGTATATTACTTAGTAATTATCAGTATTATTAGTAAGTATATTACTTACTTAATACTACTTTCCTCATAATATAATTTCTGTAAGTCCCCAACTTGGATGTTTCCTTGACTAATTTTACACTTTTATTCTTTTGTATTGTAATCATTTAAGGCTATGAATTTCTCTATGATAAGCACTTTAGCTTTATTCCAAGAGTTTTGAAATTATGGTTTTTAATATTGTTCAGGACTAAATGTTTCTTACTTTCCTTTAAAAGTTTTTCTTATATCTATAAGTTGTTTGGAAGTGAGGTTTTTTTTTGTTGTTTTTTGTCAAAGAAGATTGGCCCTGAGCTAACGTCTGTGCAAATCTTCCTCCATTTTGTATGCATGATGACACCACAGCATGGACCGATGAGCAGTATGTAGGTCCATGCCTGGGATCCAAACCTGTGGACCCCAGGCTGCCGAAGCAGAGCGTGTGAACTTACTCACTATGCCAATGGGCCAGCCCCCTAGAGTTGTTTTTTAAATATGAAACACATGGACATTTTAAATTTATCACTTAGTTATTTACTACAAATTTAATTATAACATGATTTAGAAACCAGTCTACAGTATAACATTAATTCTCAGCTGTGTTGAAGCTTATTTTATTTTAGTTCATTTTCAGCTTATTGGCATGCAATTGACAAATAGAAATTTTATGTATTTAAGGTGTACAACTTGATGTTTTGATATACTTGTACATTGCAAAATGACCACCACAATCAAGCTAACTAAAATATCTGTCACCTCCCATAGTTACCATTTTCTTTCTTTGCTTTTATTTATTTATTTATTTATTTTTGTGGTAGGAATGCTTAGGGTCTACCCTCTTAGCAAATAAAAGGAAAAAAGCGTACAAAACAGTATCATTAAGTGTAGTCACCATGCTGTACATTAGATCTCCAGAACAAAAGCTACAAAATTTCAGTAAGCCTTATTTTATAACCTAGCATTTGTTTAATTCCACATGTGCGTGAAGTTGATCTGTACTCTATATGCCTTCAGTGGGTGGGTCTTGTTAATTATTCTCTAAATTTTTTATACACTCACTTAGGATTTATCCACCTGGTATATTATTTACTCAGGGGAGGGTATTCAAATATCTTACTATCATAGTGGGTGTGTTATTTTTCCTCATGGTTCTCCCATCTGATTACCAGGAAGCCCTGAAAGCCACAGACTTCCTCCGCAGAGACAATCCCCTTCCACTCCAGAGTAGAGAGCAGAACACACAAACTGGGCAGGCTGGCTCCCAAGGAGAGGAGCCGAGGAAAGGACGGGGCTACACATGCCCCGTTCCTCTTCCAATCTCACCAATCAGATCAGTGCTTCTGAGACTTGAACTTGCTTCAGGTCAGCTTGAGGCTTGTTAAAACACAAATTGCTAGATCCCACCCTCAAAGTTTCTAATTTAGAAGGTCGCAGATGCACATTCTCATTAAGATAAAATTCCTTATCCACAGTTAAGGTTTACCTGAGAACATTCCAGGTGATTTGTTGAAGCTCATTTATCCCACCACTAATCAACGTCCCTGTATTTGGGGACGGTTCAAAATGGTTTAGTGACTTGTTCTCTGAATTAAAGAACTGAAGAAATTGCCTATAATTTCTTATTTTTAGAACTTTATGACTGTAGAGAACAAAATACCTTTCCAATAATGCTTCTGTAGGCTCGTATAAATTATGTTTAAAAGGATTTTCTCCAGCTAGCCTACACTTAAGTGAAAAATTATATGTGACCTGATTCAAGGGTTCATACAGGTTCTGAAAAACCCACAGCTGGCATGAATGGGAGGGAGGGTAAAGATTCAGTCAGCAGAATCAGATCTTCTGTTTTTAAAATATTGTTCTTTCCTCTTACTCAGTAGAGCTAAAATTTTTGAACTGAATTCTTTACCCTACTAACTGACTTTTGAAAGACACTTATCCATTTTCCCACTGTGGGAAATTTAATGAGAAAATAGACACAAGATATTCAAGCATAAATGGTTTGTTTGCATAAGAGATTATGGAATTAAGCAAGAGCATGGAATGGTTCTATGAAGTAGAGAGTCCATTCCTACTCCAGAAAGGAAAATAGAGATGGCAGGAGGCCTAGAGCAAAAAGGCTGACCAGAGAAAGCCTTGTAAAAATCCATGGCAGGCCATGTTCTCTATGAGTAGGAGAGTTACTCTGTGGGAGAGATAGGCTCCCAGAAGACGTCTATCACTCACCAAATTTTCATTCCCACCCACTTCTCCTGCTGCATGGTGCTCAGTGCCACAGACATTCTGCTTCAGGTAAGAAGGCAACTTAGAGGCCAAATGGTGTAGTGACATAATGGGAAGGGTTAGAAAACTTTGGCTATCCCATTTCCAGCCTATTTCTAAATTCCCATGCAACCTTGGTTAAGTTATTTCCCACATCTTCACTTCAGTTTTATCTTCTGTAAAGACAGATGGGTTTTTGCCAGATGCCTAACTCAGGAGTTCAGTGATTCAATGCCTAGCTGCAAATGGTGTTTGCTCAAAGTAAGGCTTCAAACATTGAATGTTGACTTAACCTGAGACTTGAACCTAGTCTTATTGTCTTACCAGTATGAGCCCATCTCTCCTACTCCCATCAACTTCTCACAACAAAAGAAAAATTGCTTTGACTTGGGAAAGGAAAGAATCACAGGTTCGATTTCTGCTATTGTTGCTGTTTTTCTCTACCCACAGCATTAGTCTTCATAGTTTAATAATATTAAAATGGGTTTCCCTTTACTTATGACCTACCATAGTTCAGAGCAGAGAGTGTAGTCCAAATCTGGGCTGGATGGTTAGGGAAAATTGACTTGAGGCTGAGGCTACATTGTCATACAAAAAAGCAAACTCAAGTGGGACAGCCCATCCACATTAAATAAGTTGGGATTCCAGAACATTTCATTATTCTAGTCAGGATTCCTGAATTGAGAGGGAAGCCAATGTTACTGTATGTCACCCCACATACATTTTCCTTCTGGTAAAATAAGTTAAAATAAACACCTAGTCATCTTTGCACTAGAAATAAAATATTTCAACATCTTTAGGAAAAAACATGAAACCCAGACACTCTTTTATTGCAGGATCACCCAGGAACACCGAACTCAACGTTCTCATGAGCTCTCCTTTCATAACTTACTGATCTATATCTGAACATGTACCCAAGAAGTTCCTTTATTTATTTATTTTTTTGCTAACCTCATTTACTATTTTCTCAGTTCTTCTCCAGGAACCCTATCTTAAACACAATCCCACAGTCAGCTTTGGTTCTTACAAACTCTTTCAAACACAGTTCTATCTCTCTCTAAGTCTACCTAAAAGTTTACACTTGCATCCTTATTTTTTGGCTATTTTTTTACTTATGTATCCTTTCACCCATATTAGATAGGTATGGGTTTAGAGGACATATTTCTTCTCCCTTTACAAATATCCCGATTTGTCACAATCCAAGACTCAGTCCACTTTAGTTGGTCTATGAAGTGTGTTTGACAAATTATTTGACTGATTATTAGATTAGTTGACTGACTAATCAACTAAATCTTACATTTACCAAATGAATGCCTATGACTCTACAGATCCTCAGGGTCCCTTCAACATGGCCCTAATCCTCTGACTGACCCTCCTGACAGCCTCCCTCACTTCTTTATTAGGAAGAGTATAAATAATTGGGTTGAGAAAAGGGGTAAGAAAAGAATACACCAAGGCAATAAGCTTGTCTGTGCCCTCAGGTCGACTCCCAGCTGGCCCCACATAGACAATGAAGGCAGATCCAAAGAATAGTGTTACTACAGTTATGTGGGAGGAACAGGTGGAGAAGGCCTTGGCACGGCTGGCAGCTGAGGGCAGCTTCAGCACAGCTCTCAGGATACCCCCATAGAGTCCTAAAATGAGCACAAGATTGCATGCATTGATCATACCAATCACTACAATATGGACTTGAGCACACCAGCTTGTGTCCACACACGCCAATCGCATTAGTGGGGCCAGGTCACAAAAGTAATGGGCCACCTCTTTTGAACAGAAGGGCAAAGTGACTGTGAGGCTGGCTGGCACAAGTGCAGCTGAGAAGCCAGCCATCCAAGTGGTCCCTGCTAGCCATAACTGTACCTTTCTGCTCACGAGTGCATGGTAGTGGAGAGGGTGACAGATGGCGAAGTAGCGGTCCAACGCCATGACACCCAACAGATAACACTCAGTCATGCCCAAGGAATGGAAGACATATAACTGGATGAAGCACACAGCTGATGAGATGGGTGAATGTCCATGGAGCAAGGTATGCAGCAGTGTGGGCACTGTGGTGCTGACATACCAGAGTTCCAAGAAGGAGAGGACACTGATGAAGAAGTACATGGGTGTGGATAGTCCAGAATCTGCTTGAACGAGGACAATGATGAACAAGTTCCCTGCCAGGGTGAGCAGATAGATGCACAGGGTCCCTGAGAATGCAAGAAGTCGCAGAGTTCCAGTGGCAGTGAAACCAACAAGGATGAAACTCTGGATCCACGTGTGGTTGACATGATCCATGATTCCTAGGAATGAAAGGTAGAGACAGAAAGTTAACTACTTCAAGATTCTTCTTGAGAAATTTCCCCAGAGCCAGAAGTATAGAACATATGCACCTAAAAATATCTTACACATTATCAAACCAACTTCCCTCACTTTTCAAAAGAGGAACTGAAGACCAGAAAGCAGAAGTTATTTGTGTAATATCACAGTCTGCTGATGACAAAGTCAGAGTGGAGTCCACGTTTCCTGCTTCACAGCCCAGCACTTTTCCAGTTGTATAGAATGTGACACCAGAGTCTCAGGCCCGAGGATTTTCTCCCACATGCCCCACTGGGCAACAGAAGAGATAGGAAAATTTTCACACTCATCTTCTTACAGTTAAAATGAAATTTCCTACAATTCTTTAAAGCATCCACCTGTACCTGTACATCCAACAATCAGTTGTACTAAACTGTGGGAAAGGAGACATATACTTTCTAAAATGTGATTGCTGAGTCTCCTTTGTGGAACCTCTCTAGAATTCAAGAATGTTCTCAGTAAGGGCTGTAGAAGGAAAAGATGGGAGAAAAAAAGAAATGTAAATACTGGTGCATTTTAAGGAAGGACTCCCAAAGGGAATTATGTAACAGAATGTCTTTAGGGGGTTGTGTGTGAATTGATGAAGTCAGGACCCTATGATGTCAGTCTAAAGTGCTGTAGAACAAGACAAAACACATTCTCTTTGGGAATTGGCTTTCTAAACTTGCTCTACCACTAACTCAAAATGACGTTGAACCTGGCAATTTCTCCTTTCCTTACCACAACCTTCTCTTCTCTAAACTGAAGAAATTTAAATAGATGCCTCATAAAGTTACACACAGCCCTGGTAGTTTGCGATTCTCTAAAGCCTCTGAAAAATGTCTTTGGGGTGATGGTGGAGATAGATGATGTACACTAATGTCCTAAGAGTTTTCTTCCCACACATGTAATAGTCCTCACCTATGAAAGTTCAAAGCCCATTCCTAGTCCTCTCTTCAGCTTCTTTCATCTCTGCTTCACCATCCCTGTCCATTACCTGACTGTTTTGATGATATTAAGACTTGTAGCTTCTTTATCAATGTTCTTTCTGCCTCCAAAAGACTTCCCTCTTATATTTCACATTTCTGGGAATGCTGGCCTCCCAGGTGCTCCTTGCTGTGTGTTCCCTGGGGTTGCTGGGTGTGGTTACCTCTCAGTAGGGGTTCCTATGGGGCAGGAGATTGGGCACAGGAAAGTGAAGCAGCTCAGCTCTATTTCCCAAATGACTCTCAACTCTGCAACCCTGACTGTTGGGCTCTGGAATCCAATCTCAGGGACATTGCCTCCTCGGGCCATGAAATTTTTTGCAAGTTCCATATAGCTTTCTATGGGGAGAGATAATACAACTTGCATACTTTTGTGCAAAAATGGAGAATTACATCTTGAGCATCCCAGAAGTGAATTTCATCTTTTAAAAATTCTCCTTACAGGGAAATTTCTCATCCAACTTTTCTTTCCGATCACAACTAACCTCATTACCTTATGGGCACAATCAACTCAGGCACCACTATCAATTCTGGGCTGAACATCTCTACCTTCATTAGTCTCACTACTATCTCTACCTTCGTTATGTCCTCTATCATTTATTCATTGATTTAATCATTGTTTATTGAATACCTAAAATACTGTTCTAAGTGTATTGTTCTAAGTCTCTGTTACCAGTATTGTTGCCATTACTTATATCACCACCACTATTATCATTTCCCAGGACTTCCTCATGAGGCTTATCCACTTTTTCGTAATCACTTTTATTTATATCCATCAAAAGCCCTGAGATTATCTTTATATCAAAAGCCCTGAGATTAGCATCTGAGCTCTGACCTCAGCTGGGAACTATCTGTGAGCATGTGCTTGGATGAATATGGAATCTAGAAAAATAATAGAATAAAAGCATTTATTATCGGAAGTAATTCATTTGAATCTTTTATAGATCAAATGTACTTTTTCTCAGAATCAAAGGTAGAGACAAGATGGTTGCTAAATTAAATGTAATATAAAGTGGTGACTGCAAAATATGAACAAGTGTATCAACACTAAAATGAAGGAAACTATTGGACCTTCTGACATCCCATTGGAGAAACTTCCTACAGGGACTGGAGATGTTGGAGCAAAAGGAAAAGAAGATATTTGCTTCTGAGAGTGCTAATGTAACTTCAGAATTGGAAAAGTCTCTTTGAGGAAAGAAAAGCAAACAAAAACTCAAGTATTTGGACAGAGAGCCTCGTTTATTCTCAAGCAGTATTGAGCCTACATCCTTCTTCATCTGAAATACCTGTCCTTTGTCTAGGATGAATAGTTGTCACTGCTCTTTGACTAAATTACTGCATCCTTCACAGTCCCAAACACCAAGACTCTTCGTTTTCTCCTTATTTCATGGATGTGTATAGATTAGCCATCTGTCTAGATTCTTCAGATGAATGGTTGTGCTGGACTCAGAGTGGCCACTTTAATATTTATTTTTAGTTCTGTATATCTGCACACCACGTTGGTATTCCTACATTCTCCTTTTACGAGCCAGACTCTGAAAGTCTTGCCAAATACTAAAATAATGTAATAAATATGGGAAATCACAATCATTCATTCATTCCTTCATTTAATACATCTTTTAAACATCTTTTATGCCCAGGTCTTATTCTGGGAACTGGGGAAAATAAGATGCACAAAACACAGTTCTTTTCCCTAACATGTTTACTGCAGACTTTGGGAGATGGACCCTCAAACCAGACAATTATATAAAAAATATAATTTTTTTAAACATAAGAAAAAATTTCAACCTCATGCACAGTAAGATAAATTTAAGTTTAAAACTACAATGAGATAACATTTCTTAATTTTCGTATTTACAAAGGTTCAAAAGTTTGAAAACACACTTTACAGAAATTGCTATGAAGAAACACACTTTCATCCATTGCTGGTGGAAGAACTAAATGGCATAATCTCTTTCAAAGAAAATATAAGAATATTTGCCCAAATTACATGTACATTTCCACAATGACCTGAGAATCTCACTGCTGGGAATTCATATGTACATATATGAAATAATGTATATGTAAAGTTATTCATTGTAGATCTCTATTTGATAGCCAAAGACTAGAGCAACACAAGAGTCCTTTAATAGAGGACTAGTCAAATTAAACATACATTGGAATACTATGGAGCTATTTTTTCAAATGGGAAACCACTCTTTACAAAGAAATGAAAAGATTTTCAAGATTTCTTACTAAGAATAAGAAAAGCAAAGACACAACAAAGTTTGTAGTATGGAGCCATATGCTTAAGAATAGGAGATTATAAATTATTCTTATCTTCTGAGTTTTGCATATAGAAACACTGCAATCATACAGGAAAAACTATTAAAAGTGACCACCTGTCAGGGTGGGAATGAGGGATAGAAAGGAGCAAATATGTTGGGAATTGGGAGTAGCAGGACTTCTCTACGTAAATACTCCTGGATTGCTTTGATTTTTGAAACATTTAGTTGTATTATTTGTTGAAGCAAAGAAGTCACATTTAAAAAAAAAGTGTTAGTTCAGTGTTATGCTGTGGTCATATGTCCTTGTTTGCCCCAACTCTGGGTTAATATATCTGATGTCCTAGAGTAGTTATTAACAGTACCTCCTTTTGCTCACTAACGCATTTGAGCTTAGGCAACAACTGTATAAACACTTTATATGACGGAATATTAGTCTTAATGCTAGTGTTGATGCCAATAAGCCATAACCAATCTATAAACCATACTTGGGGTGAGTTTATTATGAACCAGATTTGAGGACCACATAGCCTGGGAGAGTCCTTCCACAAAGGAATGGAGCACTCCAAAGAAGTGAGGGCGTAGAGAGTGGTTCTATACAGTCAAAGAGCACGTATCACATATGATTGAAATGTCTCTTTTGCAATAGTCAAGAGATTGCCCTGTTGGCACAGTGATTGATGGACACAGCAGGTAGCAGGTCTGTTGTCTCTAGCTGGGTAGTCACAGCTGAGCACAGCAATCAATTCCTAGTCTAGGGAGAGATGCTTATCCTTAAGGAAATGCCAAAGTGGGGGAAGCTGCACCTTTATCTTAAGGGCATTTGTTCTTGTCTTTGGGACAAAACAAATGCTTACAGCAGATATACAATGCATGCTCAACTGCCACATCAAGCCCTTTTGGAAAAAACAAAATGAGGCCAAATTAGTTTTATACCAATAGCTTCCTCATATACTCCAATATATCCTGTTGCTTGACATTTGTTTATCACTAGTACTGAGCAACTGGTCTGATTATGGTAGATTTTAGTCCTGACTTGTTCTCATTGTCTCTCCTACTAGAGGCGTTATCTAGATATCACCAGGGAAGAAGCGGCCAAAAGTTGAGTCTTACCTTGGACACTTACACCAATATGTCACGCACTAAGGCATTGATTTTCATTTTTGTCACACCATAGCACATATAAAAAGTGATAATATTTGTAGAGAACCCACAGGTGATCAGAAAGGCTGCTTACCGCCAGAGGCAATCAGTCCAGGGACTCCAGTTTCCTCAAGCCTTATATGACCATTTAAAGGGCATGTGTTAGGGGTGAGGAATCAGTTACTCAGCACCACTGTTATTTTTATCAGTTGGGAAATTCTGCACGAAGGATGATATAAACTTTATATTCTAAAAGGAAGGAGGTTGCAAGAGAGGAAAGATTGTAAAATGAAAGGCAAGAGAGTTTGGAGCTATGAATAGATCTAAGAAAAATACTATATCCTCATGGAGTTATAGGAGGGGCACTTAATCTCTGTCACACTCATTTAACTCTTGAGTTCATTCATTCATTTGCTCACTAATGAATAAATCAATGGTGCTGCCTTGAGTTGTTAATTATTGCTATCTCTAAAACAGGATTGAAAGCCCTCAGGCTCTCTGCACAGTATAGACCCACAGAGATGGGACCCACAGGGTTATTGATTAATGGGACCCAAGCCGTTGCAAGGGCAAGCAGTTTCAGCCAGTCTTTTGTGCTGCCACCAGAGGGAGCATAGGAGTTTCCGATGTGCCTGCAATGACTTGCAAAAAGAGCCATCTCAAGAAAGGTGTCCAAGAGGAGTGAAAAGATCAGAGCTCAAAAACAATAGACATAGCAGGCCAGGGGAACAGAGTATTGCACCCTGCATTTAGAGAAGCAGCATAGATTTGGTGAAAACAGGACGTACTGTTCAGGTAATGCAAGTTGACTTTGGACACTTAGGTCAAAAGGAGATGCTTCACTTGGATGCTACCAATTCTTTTCTTTTTTTTTTTTTTTTTTGAAGATTGGCACTGAGCTAACATCTGTTGCCAATCTTCCTCTTTTTTTTTTTTCCCTCCACAAAGCTCCAGTACATAACTGTATATCCTAGTTGTAAGTCCTTCTAGTTCTTCTGTGTGAGATGCTGCCACAGCATGACTTGATGAGCAATGTGTACATCCATGCCCAGGATGACGAACCTGCAAACCCCGGGCCACCGAAGTGAAGTGCAGGACCTTAACTGCTACACCACCAGGAGGGCCCCTGGATGCTGCCAATTCTTCTGACTTCACACATAATGAAAATTTGAGATGCGTGTTGAAACTAAACATTCTCAAGGAAAGAAATTCCCACTGCTGAAATGTAGGTGGAAAATCTTTGAAGCAATAATGATTAATATCTATGTACTGCCTAAAGTTTCATTATTGTCCTCATTTTCCAGATCAGCAAACTGAGGCACAAGGAAGCTAAGTGCATTACCCAAGGTCACACTGCAAGTATAGGGTAGAATTAATGTTCGAACCCAAGCAGACAGGCCTCAGAGTCCATGCTCTGACCACTATATTGCCCTGCCTCTGGAATAATAAGGCTAATGTATGTATTGAACACTTGTCATGTGTTATTTTACTTAATCTTTAAAACTCTTTGTTACATAATTTTTTTTAAGGAAGACAAAATTGAAGTCAAGAGAGAAATTACTTTCGTTTTTGTCTAGGATCGCAAAGCCAAAAAGTGACAAAACTTGGATTTGGATCCCCTTCCACTCTCTGTTCTGGATATTCAGATCTTGCCGCCGGGGGCCTAGTTCAGATCCTGTTTTCTTTAAGAAGTGTTGCAATCATAGAATGAAAACTCCCTAAGCAGGAAGGAATGTGAGCAGTCCTCTGCTCCAGGCTCTCACTCAGCACAGAAAGAATGAGACTGAGGAAGTCTTGCCAAGGTTATCAGCCTGCCAGAGTGGATCTGGAGATGAATCCATGTCTCTTTACAGCAAGTCCAGCAATCTTTCGAATTTCATCATGTAAATATTGGGATGATTCTTCCTTCTTCAGAGGAAAATTATGAAGATTAAATTAAAAGTACATTTAAAAGCAGCTGTCACTGTTTCTGGCATAGGGCAGACATACTAAAAAAATTGGTTTGATTTTTCAGCAGTTACTTATATAAGAATGAAAAACAGAATATTTAAAACCCATAGAATGGCCTAGTGTCTGCCAAGATTTTGGTCCGATCTTTCTCACTAATTTTCTCACATCCTTTTGCTGGTATTTGACCCTCAATTCACACATCACTAAAGTATGAAAGTTGAACCTGAGCAATGATTTTCAAAAGTTGCCCAGCAGAGAAAGTGGTGTGGGAGCTAGAGGAGAAAAGAGGCAATAGAATGTGGTCAGAGCTTCAGGTCCCTATTTCTATTTCAATCTGTTTTCTACTTTGTACTAGTGTGCTTTATATACAAGACTTGCAAAGCTTTTTCTTCCTTTGCTGCTTGGTTAAAAATATATATATTTATTTATTTATTCTTATTTAATACAGCTCCAGATGATTTCAAAGGTGTATTCCATGATATTAGAAGAGAACTCAGACAACACCTTCATCCAATACTTTTCTCTTTCCCCATTAGAGAGTAAATTATTATCTCTAGCTTCCAGCCTCCTGCCTGGTGGAACTGTTCTCTCCTCCCCTGAGCTACCTTTGATCATATGATAACCCCAGATCACTGGATTCCACTATACTAAGCTTTCTCCCCACGGCTCACTGTTTCACATCTGAAACCTAGGCAAGTTAGAATTTTAGTCTCTTTTTTCCAAACATGTTTTTCACCTTTTCAATCCTTCTCTGGAAATCCTATCTTGACAAAAGCCCCCACTCTCACCTTTAGTTTTTCTTCTTTGTCTCAGTATTACACTGTCTCTCTAAGTTATAAGTTCAGCAAAACCATTTGTGCTGTGTCTCTGTTATTTTCCTCCTTTGTCACATTTCTCTCCCCTTTGGATTGGGGTGAAATCAAAGACATATCTCCTTTCTCTGTACATATTCAAACTCTGATTAATCCAGGACCATCTCTTCCTGAGTAAGTGTTTGCAGCATGTTTGACAAATGAGTTGACTGATTATTTCACTGGCATTTACTTTAACTCTGACCAGATGATCAACTAACCAACTGGCTGATTCCTGCAGTTACCGGGAAGCTGGGCTATGACAATAAAGATTGTCAGCATTCCTTCAAAATAGTCCTGATCCTGACAGTGATCCTCTTCATGGCCTCCTTCACCTCCCTGTTGCGAAGGGTATAGATGATAGGATTGAGGAAAGGAGTAAGAAGGGCATATACCAAAGCAATATGTTTGTCTGTGCCTTCAGGGTGACTCCTAGGTGGCCCCACATACACTGTGAAGGCAGAAGCGTAAAAGAGTGCCACTACAGTTATGTGGGAGGAACAGGTAGAGAAGGCCTTGGCACGGCTGGCAGCTGAGGGCAGCTTCAGCACAGCTCTCAGGATACCCCCATAGAGTCCTAAAATGAGCACAAAGTTGCACCCAGTGGCCACACCAATTATTGCCCCATGGACCTGAGTATGCCAGCTTGTGTCCACACACGCCAATCGCATTAGTGGGGCCAGGTCACAAAAGTAATGGGCCACCTCTTTTAAACAGAAGGGCAGAGAGACTGTGAGGCTGGCTGGCACAAGTGCAGCTGAGAAGCCAGCCACCCAAGTGGTCCCTGCTAGCCATAACTGTATCTGCCTGCTCATGAGCACATGGTAGTGGAGTGGGCGACAGATGGCAAAGTAGCGGTCCAACGCCATGACACCCAACAGATAACACTCAGTCATGCCCAAGGAATGGAAGACATATAACTGGATGAAGCACACAGCTGATGAGATGGGTGAATGTCCATGGAGCAAGGTATGCAGCAGTGTGGGCACTGTGGTGCTGACATACCAGAGTTCCAAGAAGGAGAGGACACTGATGAAGAAGTACATGGGTGTGGATAGTCCAGAATCTGCTTGAATGAGGACAATGATGAACAAGTTCCCTGCCAGGGTGAGCAGATAGATGCACAGGGTCCCTGAGAATGCAAGAAGTCGCAGAGTTCCAGTGGTAGTGAAACCATTAAGGATAAAATTCTGGGTCCATGTGTGGTTGCCATGATCCATGATTCCTACGAACAAGGGGTAAGACAAACAATTAACTACTTCAGGATTCTTCCTCTATTCAGAAAACTTTCCCAATGCAAAGAACACTGAATGGGAGCACCTGAAAGGAACTTGACATTATCTAAGGAATGCTCTTCACTTTGCAATAGAGGAATTGTAGCCTGCAGGCAGAAATTGTTGACCCTGTACCATAGAATCTGTTAATAGGGCTGAAACTAGAAACCAAGGCTCCTGATCCCAGTTCAGTCCTTTTCCATGTTATAATATTGTGTTCTAGGTGCTCAGAAACTGGATTTCTTCCCTACACCACCATCAGGAAACAAAAGAGAGAGGAAAATTCCTACCTCCAACCTTCCTATACTTTCCACTGATAAAATAACCAGCCATATGGGGCTGTGGAGAAGACAGAAAAGTCATCCCCTAAAAGTGACTGTTGAGGCCTCTTTCAGGAAGCCTTCAGAAGTTTACAGACTGTTCTCATAAGCACTAGAAGCAGAGATGGAAAATTAAAGAAATGCAGAAGCTCTGAGAACAATCCCTGAAATCTTACGTCCGTGGCACCCGATAACTCACTCAGCAGAGAAGCTATGCGTTTTGAAAGATGATTTCCAAAGGAGACACGAACCAGGAATTCTCAACAAGAAAAGCCATGAGGTTAGAAGGCCCAAGCAAGGAATCCTGAAGATTAAAAAGAGAGCCTTCTGTCAAGTCAGGGATTTGGCTTTGTGAACTTGCAGTATCTCTGACAACACACATCGGGCAGAGCAACTTCTCCTCACGTGCCCCCAACTTCTTCTTCTCTAAAAGAAAAAAGATTTGAACAGATGTTTTCAAAGACTCTTACAACACAGATAATTTATAGTTCCCTAAAGTCACTGAAAAATGTTTATGGATTGTGGCGGGCATCAACACCACCGTCCCTAGAGTTTTTCTCCCACGCCTCATCTAGGAAAGGTCAAAGCCCTTGCCTTATCTTCTTCTCCAGTTACTCTCATCTCTGCTGCACCATCACTGCCCATTACCTGACTGTTTTGATGATATTAGGATTTGCAGCATTCTCCCGAGCATTCTTTCTACCTCAGGACACTTTCCTACTTATATTTCATGTTCTTGTAAATGCTGGCTTCCCAGGGGTTCCTTGTTGTGTGTTCCTTGGGGTTTCTGGTTATGGCTAGCTCTCAATAGGAGTTCCTCTGGGGCAGGATGTTGGGTGCAGGAAAGTGAAGCAGATCAGCTCCATTCCTCAAATGACTTTTCTAATTCTTCAAATCTGATTGTTGGGTTCTAGAATCCAATATCAGGGACATTGCCTCTTCTGAGGCACTAGAAGTTTTTCAAGTCCCATATAGCTTTCTATGGGGAAACACAACCCATGTTGCATAATCTTATGTACAAATGGAGAGAGAAAATCACTGAGCACCCCAGAAGTGAGTGTCGTTTTTTTTAAAAATTGCCTTGCAAGGAGACTTCTCAATCATCTTCATTTCCATTCAACTCCAATAACAAGAACTGGATGACACAAGAGGGGTAAATCAATTTGCCCACTACTAACTTTACCACGGTATGAGAAAGATCAGCAGCACCATCACTTCTACCTTGACTCTCTTCATCTTCATGACAATCACCACCACCACTTCCTTCACCATGTCCACTATCATTTAGTCATTGATTTAATCATTATTGAATGTCTACTATGTACTGTTCTAAACCACCAATATTGCTATCGTCCTTTTCACCACTACTGTTATTATTGTTATATGGGACATCCACAGAATGTGTATCCAGTTTTCCATCATCACTCTCCTTTTTATTACCATCAGCATCATCTTCATAAAATTTCTGCAGTCAGCATATGAACTCTGACCTCAACTGGGCACTATATCTACACATGTACTGGATGGATATAAAAGTCCATAGAAATAACAGATTGAAAGCATTAACCTGTCAGAGAGTAATAAATTTGCATCACTTTTAGATGGAAATGTGGTTTAACATTTACAAATCAGAGGCATGGGACAAGATAATAGCAAAATTAAATTGTCTATCAGGACTTTAACCATAAAAGATTCGCATATAGACCACAGAAATTTAAGAGAAACCACTGAATCTCCTCAGATTAACGTAGAAAATCTTCCTGCAAGAGCTGGAGTTGTTTAAACAGTAGAAAAAGATGATGCTTGGCTTCGAGAATTTTACTTTAGAAAATAATGTAACCTCAAGATTGGAAGAATCTCTACTTGAATAAAAAATTCTCAGATGCTTAGGGAGTTAGAGGTTCTCATTCAGTCTTTTCCAACCTTGCAGCTAGATTCCACTTCATCTTAAACACCTGACCTTTCTCCAGAATGGAGAAAAACTGCTGCATTCCCCACAGTCCCAAACACCAAAACACTCCTAACTTGCAGTTTTCTTTATGGATCTATGCGACAGATTCTGAGACAGCCTTCCCCCATGCTTTGCAGTGCCCACGTATATCACCATGGCTTGACATTAAAAGAGTATATTATAATGGCTGTGTGTTTGCCTTCACAAAGCAATCAATGTAACACAAATGTGTGTTTATATGAAGCTTATATACAAACCCAAATCAATGCAAAAATATATGTTAAATATTTAACACTGTATATCAATAAAGAGTGAAGTGTTTGAGTTAAAAGTAGCATGAAGAGAGGAAATAAAAGTTGGAGAGTTTCAAGTTTAGGCTTTGCTTAGCTAAGAAAATAGTTTGTTTTCTTCTCATGTCATCCCCCACCAATAGAACATTCTCACTTAATATTTATTCTGCATCAGAAATGGATCAAGAGAAAAGAGCAAGGTCTAACACCTCCATCAAGAAATTGATGATTTAACAAAAGAGACAACTAAGACTCCCTGTTACAGTGTTAAGCAAAGAACATATGATTTTAAAAGCATCAACTTTTAACAATATGTTGTTAATATTTGAAAAAAGCCTATGTTATAGGTAATGATTACAAAGAATAGGTGAAGACTTTTAGTAAAATAATCTCATAAGTGATTTTAATTTTTGTCCATCTAAATGCTCTGTGTTATGGACATGTTTATATATAATACTGTTTTCCAAGAAAAAAATTGTGACCCAAAAGCTAGAAAAGGTATTATCAAAAGCAGCTTAAATAGGGGCTGGCCCAGTGGAATAGTGGTTAAGTTCACACGTTCCCCTTTGGTGGTCCAGGGTTCACCAGTTCAGATCCCGGGTGCGGACCTACACACTGCTTCTCAAGCCATGCTGTGGCAGGCGTCCCACATATAAAGAAGAGGAAGATGGACACAGATGTTAGCTCAGGGCCAGTCCTCCTCAGCAAAAAGAGGAAGATTGCTGGTGGATGATAGCTCAGGACTAAACTTCCTCAAAAAAAAAAAAAAAAAAAACAAGGAAAACAGCTTAAATAATATGAGAGGGGAAATCACAATGATTCTGTTATTCAATCATTAAATATATTTATTAATTGCTATTTTCCACACCTCATACTAGGAAAAGAATGAGTTGCATAAACCATACTGTCTTTCCTCAAGATACTTAATTTGGAGTGGAGGAGACAGATCCCAAAATAGGCATTTATAAAACAACAGGAACACTTAAATGCCAATTAGGACTGTGTGGTGGAGAACATTATAATTTCTTTTTTTTTTTAATATGAGAAAACAGTTGTTCAGAGAGAGGTTAAGTTTTTTACTCCAAACAGTATAACCAAAAAGTGGCAAAACTTAGCTTTGGACCAACATCTTCCCTCTCTGACCTGGAAATTTGTATCTTACCCATGTGGGTCTAGTTCAAATCCTGCTTTCTTTGAGAAGTATTGCAATCATGAAAGGAAAACTCCCTAAGCAGGAAGCAATGTGAGCAGTCTCCACTCCAGCCTCTCATTTGGCAGACAGAGAATGTGGCTGAGGAAGTCTTGCCAAGGTCACCAGCCCACTGGAGTAGATCTGAAGTTGAATCCATGTCTCTTTAGTATAAGCCCAGTAATCTTTCCGTTTTTATTTTTACAGAAAAAATGATTAAAAACAATTTAATAAAGAGCAGTCATGACCCAGTGACCTGCCTCTGCCATATTCCAGTCCTGTCTTAGTCACCAATGAGCTGTGCATCCTTGGCAGGTCATGTTGCCTCCTTGGCCTTCAATTCACTCATCTGAAAAGTAAGAAGATTGAACTAAATCATCTCAGCAGAGGAACTAGTTGAGGAACCAGGAGAGGAAAGAGGGCATAGGGAGTGGCTACGGCTTCCGGTGCCTGTTTCTATTTTCTGTTTCGGGCTGTTTTCCGCTTTTTACTCATCTGCTTTATCTACTATGGCTCTAATGCTGTTTGTTTGAAAATATAGGATCAGATTCCCTGGTTGTCTTCTTTGATACTTTGAGAAAGCTGGGTCTACTTCTTACTAGGGTTATGCGACAATTGCTGAACTAACGTGAAGAAGGAAAGAACATTCCTAGTTCCAGGTTACCTGCCTACCTGTGGCAGAAATAGGCAGGGGTACATTCTGAACTGGTAATACCATTCAGTGCTCTCATCAAAACAGTCGACAAGACTAGGGCCTCATGTAGGGTTGGAGTCCAGAAACCAAGGGCTGAATGATGGCCTAACTTAATTTAAAACTCCTAGTAATAGTGAGGGACAGAGAGGATGAGGAAACTGGGGCCGGGTCTGAGACCCTTGACATACTAAGGAGTCTTCTGTTTCTGCTATGTCTAACACAGAAACTGGGTAGTCTAGGAGAATAAGGATGAGAGTTTTAGTAGATCCAGGTGTCACAGGTCAGGGAAGGTAAAATCAGGGTAATGATGAGCTCTCGCATTTTCTGAATCTATTATCTTTAATTGTGTCTCCCATTTACCTCCCCTTATGTGCCTTCCTCTCCAAGAATTCCAGACTTACTAATTACTGAACTCATCTCCTTACCTGTCCTATATCACTGCTTTATAGAAAATGTCCTCCTCCCTCTTTCTTCACTAAAGCATGAACATGAGCCATCATTTTTGCTGTGGTCCTGGACTAGTCATAGAGCCTTTCTGAACCTCAGTATATTCATGTATAAGTTTATATACCCAATTTAGTGGGCACTTAATAA